TCCTTGTCTCTCTAGAGCTGGGGAGCCCAGAACTGAACGTAACAGTCCCTGTATCCAAAGCCAGCACTGCTCAAAGGCCTCATGGTTCACTGCTTCCCAGAACCACGAGGCCACACTGCTCCATCCTGCACCTAGGGCCATAAATCTGTCCAGCAATGGGGAGAGCACATTACCCCCCCAGCAGAGAGCAAACCCCTCTCCCCCCTGCAGCTCCATCCCTTCCCTCCCTCTGCAGCAACACACCACTGTGCAGTGAAGGGAACCCCACCCCAACCACCAGATGTTCTGCAACTGCCCAAGTCCTTGCTGAGAGGAGGGCAGAACGTTGGGCAGGAGCAGACTGGATCATGCCCCAGCCCGGCAGCTCCCGGGGAGCAGCAGGAGGAGCACAGCTCTCTCCTGCCATCTCCTGCCACAGCAGCCAACTGCAGCACAGCCCAGACAGGCACAGCCCGAATGGACTGGAAGGAAAGGACAGGGACAAACCTTTCTAGCCAGCCAGAAAGTCACCTAGAAAGATTCTTAGCACAAATATTTGGTGTTTTCAACGCCCTCCTGTGCTCCACGTCCCAACATCTCCTTGCACCCTCTCCCCCCGAGCAAGGCTGTGGACTCCAACCTTAAATCTACCCAAAGGATGCTGCTAAACTCTCTCACTGAGGTGAGAAACCCAAAAGAGCCAGAACACAGGGCTCAGCAGCAGCACAACCACCAGGAGGGAGCTGTGCAGGGGTGCCTGAGCCCTGGCTGTTAGAAATTGGGTGCTCCCTAAAAGGCTGTGAGAGGTTTTAAGGTCTGAAACAGCCAAAAACACGCAGAGAAGTCGTGGGTTTACAGCCCCACCAACTTCTCCTGACTTTCCTGCTGGAGGTTTTTGGAACACTGATTAAAAAGAGATCTGAATTCACAGGAAGAGGAAACAGAAGTAGCAGCCTGATCCCATCCATGCTTCAGCCTGTGCAGGGCAGGCCTCCAGGGTGCCCAAACTCCTCCTATTTTATCAAGCCTTCCATTTTGCCCAAAAATTCCCTTCCTAGCTCTAGCATCTGGCCAGACCTGTTCCCTAAGGAAAAATAAAGTACCTGTGCAAAGGTATCTCAGTGTTCTCAGCACTGTCAAAGGGCCTAAACTCTATCCCTGCACAGGTTTGGCTTTCTGCTTTCTGGTGCTGGGGTCCCTTCCCCACCTTGCCTCCTCCAGAGAAGTAATATTTATGAGTTACAGCCCTCCTTGGGAAGGTTCCTCCCCCTAAAACAACAAAGAGCATGTAGTAAACAGAAAACTGAGGGAAGATTTGGTGACAGCAGAAAGTCACCTTAGCACAGGCATCTGGGAAATGAAAAAACAGGAAAAAGGTTTTGGCACACTGCTGTCAAGGCCTTTGAGACTGATCCTTCAAAGGAAATCCCTTATTTCTCACTTCAGAGTTTCCCCAAGGAGCCTGTACAGGAGCTCTTCCTGGGCAGCTGAACCCACTGGCATTTGCTCAGAACAAATGAAAGCACCTCACTTCAGAGAGCAGAGTCCCCTCCTCCCTGCCAAACTGAATTTTCCTACCTTTGCATAGCAAAAGATCAGATAACCCTGAAGTCACACACTGGTTTGGGTGGGGAGGGAGCTTTCAAGGCCACCTTGTCCAACCCCCTGCAGGGAGCAGGGACATCCCCAGCTAGAGCAGGGTGCTCAGAGCTTGGTCCAACCTCCCCTGGGATGGTTCCAGGGATGGGGCAGCGACCACCTCTCTGGGCAACCTGGCCCCCAGGGTCTCACCACCCTCAGCATCCAAAATTTCTTCCTTCTCTCTAGTCTAAATCTCCCTTCTTTTAGTTTAAAACCTTCAGCCCTTGTCCTGTCAATCAAGATATTTAGGAAGCACTTGTTTTCCTCCCTTAAGGGAAGCCAGCACTCTCCTAACAGCTTAAGCAACAATTGCACAGCCACCAGCACTGTCAGCAGAGGACAAATGTCACTGAGAAGGAAAAGGTGTTGCTCAAGAACTTACTTTAGCAACCTGGCAGCCAGGTGAACCCACAGCTCCTGAGCAGCAGCTGTAATGTGTTTCCCATCCACCTGGCACTGTAAAAGCAAAGAAAGGAGTCAGAGAATAGAGCCCTAGTAATGAGACTTCAGCTCTCACATGCAGAGAGACCCTGGATGAGCACAGCAATAACAACACCTTGAGCAAAGGGGAGGAATCAGAGTGGATTCACATGCAGCAGTCTGAAGAGTCTCAATCTCTCAGCCAGATGGATGCTCTGATGGGGAAACCACAGCAGAGCTCACACCAGGTTAGTGTCTTGCTGCAAATGAACCCAACCCAGCCCAGCAAAATCTCCTGGGCAGTGACACGTCCTGCTAAAAACACTGATTATTTTTTCAAAAGCCACAGGAACGTTTGGGATTTTTCTTTTCCTTATTTTTAAACTGAAAAACGAACCACCTCTGCCCCTGAGAGTGACATTTTGGGGATGGCCCCAGCCCCAGCAGCTCCTTGCAGAGCTATTTCAGCAGCAGCAGCAGCAGCAGGGCCACCCAGTGACAAACCGAGGAACTGGCACAGCCTGGGAGCCTGCCGTGCCCCAGAAGCCACAAAACGTTCCCCAGCCAGCTCCAACAGGAGGCAGAAGCTGTCTGGAGGTCGAGCAGAGCCCGCAGGGGACAGCCCTGGGAGGAGCTACCTCTCTGCTTGCGCAGCCTGCCCCAGTGGTGGACACACTCCTCCCTGCGGATGCAGTTTCCAGAGGCTGAGACCATGTACTCGGTGCCACAGCGACAGCAGATCCTGCAGGAGGCTTTGAGAGAAGAGAGAAGCAAGAGTCAGGTCACTAGAAATCCCTCACCTCCTAAACTTGGCTGAAACACACATAAATTAGAACCACTCAAGCCCCAGACACCAGCCAAACAACTTTTCCTCTTTAAAAGGATGCCAAAACTCCCACACAGAGCAATCCCTCTGAAGCATTCACCCCCAAAACACTTCTCAGAGGCAAACACGAGGCTCCCTGGTGGTTCTGGTGCACAGCAACAGCTTCAGCACAGTTCTCATCACCATTAGCTGCACTGTTTCCCCAGCCACAGCAGATGACGTTGTGCTCTAACACAGTTATTTTCAGACACAGGATAAATAAGTCATTCCTTGGACACTGGAGCTAATGAAGCCTGTTTTCCAGGGGCATCTGTGCCTTGTCACTTCCAAATGACATTCCAGTTCTGCCTGGGCACAGCTATTCTGGAAGGATTCTCCAGCATCTCAAAAGGGGGATGCTTAGAGCTCAGCCTGGCTCACCAAGGGGCAGTTACAGAACCCTCCTCTCCTGCACGGCCACCACTCCACCAGGGGAGATGGAAAAAGCCACAGCAGAGGAGCTGATTGTGGTGCTTCTGATCCCCACACAGTTCCCTGAGTTCCTGTGTGAGCATTTAAGCTGCTTGCACACCCCCAGCTCTCTAAAACACCAGCCTAGGCCTTTTTTGTCCAATGTCACAGCATCAACAGACTGAGGACAGGCTGAGAGCCCTGGGGCTGTTCAGCTGGAGAAGCCTCAGAGGGGATCTGATCAATGCTGAGCAAGAGCTAAAGGGCCCCCGGGGGGCAAGAGGCTGGGGCCAGACTCTGTCAGTGGTGCCCAGGGACAGGACAAGGGGCAACGGGCACCAACTGGAACCCAGGAGGTGCCACCTGAGCAGGAGGAGAAACTTCTTTGGGGTGAGGGTGCAGAGCCTGGAGCAGCTGCCCAGAGAGGCTGTGGAGTCTCCTGCTCTGGAGAGATCCCAAACCCTCCTGGCTGTGACCCTGGGCACCCTGCTGGGGGTGAGCTGCTGGAGCAGGGGGTTGGAGGAGATGATCTCCAGAGGTCCCTTCCAACCCCACCATGCTGGGATTCTGTGATTAGCTTTAGTTAAATAAGAACAAATTCAAAGATCCTGCAACATCTGTGAGAGACTACAGAAACAGCCAGGAACATGATCTCAGGATCATACAGAGGAGCTGGCTGGCTAACTGGAGAAAAGGGCTCTGACAAACACAGTACTTGAGGGTGTTAATGCAAAGGAGCTTTCATCCAGGTTGCTTCAGCAACCACAGGACAAATGTAGACACAAGGTGTTAACATGGATGAGCACTTAACACACTTTAGCAAGGTCTCTCCAAAGAGATGCTCAGAGGAGTGTGGCAAGGCACCTCAAAATACATCCTGAGTATGCTCCACCCCTGCTGCCCCAGGGCCTGCTCAGAGCAGTGTCTGAGGAGCAGGAATCCTGCTGTAGGAGTTGAGGAAACTCAGAGGATGACCCTGTCCTGTCCTGAGGAATCCTGTGGGATCGTTTTGTCCACTTGCAAGAAGGGCTTTGGGGAACAACCTGGCCCAGTATTGCCAAGAGATGAAGCACAAAACTCTGCAATTCAAAGCAGCAAAGGCATGACCCACTGTGGAAAACCAGTCTGGTCCAAAGCCAGTCCATATCCCCCCATAACCACAGGTCATGTGAACAGAGACCCAAGAACCTCTTTCCCCTGGAGGGGGGGAGTGTCACCAGATGCTGAACAGGAGCCTCTTTCCTTGCAACAGCAGCAGGCAGCCTCCAAGTGAGTGCAAAAAACCTGGAGGAGTCAAACCCTGCCCTGTGTGAGCAGGTACAAAACGTGCCCTTGCAGGGGGGAGCTGAAGGCAGCTTGTCCTGGGGGGCAACCCAACCAGTTCATGGCTCTTTGGCAACCATCAGAAACCTCACTCAGCCTCACTGCCCCAACCTGGCACAAACTGTAAACCCTGAGTTCAGACAGAGCATCCTCGTGACACACACGCTGAAGAAACTCATCACAGGAGCACAGAATTGTTTTGGTTGGAAAAGAACTCTAAGATCATCCAATCCAACCATCCCCCCAGCACTGCCAGGTCCCCACTGCCCTGTGTCCCTCACATCACATCTGCACAGCTTGGAAACCCCTCCAGGGGTGGGGACTCCACCACTGCCCTGGGCAATCCTCAAGGGCAAAAAATTGTTCCTTATGGCCAACCTCAACCTCTCCTGGGGCAACTTGAGGCTGCTTCCTCTGGTTCTACTGTTTATTCCTTGGGAGAAGAGCCTGACCCCCAAACTCATCCTCCAGATGGGAGGATCTACATCCTACAGCAGGCTCCTGCAGCCACCCTCCTCTCCTCCACAACCTGCCCTGCGGAGACAAGAGGTCGCAGCCAAGGAGCCCCACCCCAACAGGAGCCAAGGGCTCCACGCTGAGACCCAGAACAGCTTGATGCAAGAAGACCTGTTGCAAGGAGGACAGACACCTCTGGCTGTAATGTATCTAGCAAAGCTTGCAGGAGGAAAGAGCCAGCAGGGCTTACAGTCAGTTGTTTTCTTCTCCTCTGCAGTGCAGAGGACGGCGCGGCCGGGCTTCTCCGGGTGAGGCATTGGGTAACCATTTTCCTTCAGCTGCTCCTCAGTCATCAGATACTCTTTTAGTCGCCTGTACAAGGCAGCTCCTGCACACAAAGACAGTGCTGAAGTCAGATCACTTATGTAAGGGCTCTTTCTCTTACTGTTTTCTTGCTCCTCCTGGCAGGATAGTTGGTATTTGGAACTTGCTTCCACTGCCTCTGCTCTGGACTGA